TCTCAGTGTCCATCACTGCCTGTGAGACATCAGATATGATCTTGATCTCGGATCTTGATATATTTGGTTACAAACTGTATCATATTGCAGTTTGGTCCATAAATACACTTGGATAAAGTTTGTTGGCCACTGCAGCACGATAGAGGATGTCTTTGTATTATGTTATCTGCCCTTGCAGCGTTTTTGTTTTGCCCCACAGAGAAAGTTCAAGTGGCTCTGAAGAAGACTGAAAAGATTTGCGTTCGTTTCATTTGCATATTCTCAAAACTTTCCAACATTGGGGTCAAAAGATTAGAGCAGTGTACTGAAACAGCAGTGGTATCATGTGCACACTAACTCCTGTGCTCCAATGAGGTGCACCGGCTCATTTGTATGGGTGTTATTCACAGACGTTTCAACAATCCTTCACTGCATACTCAATTAAAAGATTATTCATTCATTTATTTTCTGTTATTCAGCAGCACTTTGTGTTTGACTGCTAATTATTGCAGCCCTATCTGGCCCTGCTGGAGGAGGTGAGAGAGAGGTGGCGGCGGTTTTCTGAGGAGACTTGCTGTGCAAGTCTTTGAAAACATGCATGTAATCATAAATGCACCTGCAAACTCAGCGCTCTGTCTTCATACATACAATCATACAGCTTTAATGTTTAATGTAAACACTCTGCACAATGGCTGGTAATTATTCTCTCAGTGTGGACTTAATGGCGTAAATGTTTTCGCCCCTGCGTGTAACAGCGGTTAATCCTATTTTCAAAGACGGGAATGAGTCAGATAAAGCAGGGCCATGTGTTACGCTCCCACAAACACTCCACAGTTTTGCGTATAGCAGCCAAGTCAATCAGGGTGCAAGTAGCATGACTCGTCTTTATTCATGCTAAGTGCACACATTTATTTTATCCAGTTTCCGCTCTGCGTCTCACAAAACCCTTGTATCTGAAGCCTTTTGTTTGTTTCTTCCTGTTTTTTTTTTTCCTTTGCAAGCCAGGGTCATACGCAATCTATCATCCCCCGACAGGTCATTCTCAAGTATATAGGAGCACAGCACTCTTTCTAATGTTGTTGGAAATGACAGGTAAATCCTGGCCCATCAAGGTGTTTGTTTGAGCAGCTGCCACTGTACAACAGCTGAAAACAGGCTCGATGATTTAAGGAATCCATGAGCTCTGTTGTAATGGGAGTAAGAATGTTTTCACAGTGATAGTAAAGGAAGGAGACACACTGTGTACATGACATATATTTTCTATACAAAACTTGTTTTCTAACACCGGCAGCAGGTTTCAATACAAGGTCTGCCAAGTATTTTCTGAGCTTTTTCATTCTCTGCACACTAAAGCACCCAGAGAAACCTCTTACTTCAGAGCTAAATGTGTCAGTTTAATAAGGGCGTTTAAACAGGAAATACCCTTTACTTCTACTCTATTTGTGACCCTGGATTATAAATGTCACTGTATTAAACCTTAGCTATAACGTTTCATTATTAAGATTCTTTTCTGGTATGCATACAAAAGTATCTTGTTTTCACAAGAATGTAATTTGTGCATACAGTTAATTAACTTGCCCCAACAAGATCCATATCATACAGATTAGATAACGTATCAGGTCCTAGAACATGATCATTTCTGCCTCATCATCTTGCGGGAACAAAATGAATCTTGTGTGTACACTGACTTGTGCACAGAAACTCTTAAAAATCTCAAAAACAAGATATTTTTCTATTGAAAAAAATCTAAATCTTGTTTTCACAATATAATAACTTGATGTGAAAAAAATAGTATCTTAATTCAACAGGATAACTTGCACAAACAGGAAAAAAACTTGTTTGTACAATCTATACTCTATGCACACAATACAATGTACCCACTACCTTTATTTGATTACTTGTTAACATTTTATCTTGTGGGAACAAGATACACCTCCTGTCCACAAGATGATAACTTGTTTCCACTCTACAATTGCTTTTGCTCCTGATATATATTGATCTTGCAAGACATACTCATGATGTAATAACTTGTTTCCACACAACAATAATCTGTGTATACAAGATAATAAGCTGTTTCAACAAGATACATCATACGCATATGATAATGTACCCACTCCCACAGTTTATGATTTGTTTGCATTACATCTTGTGGGAGCAAGATACACTTTGTGTGCACAAGGTAGTGACTTGTTTATACCATAGAATAACTTGTGCCCTTAGGATATATCTTTCTCCAACAAGATAACATGCCCTCAAGATACTAACCTGTTGATAACTTTTTGACATACTATTTTGCGCACACAAGATGTATCTTGTGTAACAGGATACTGATCATATGACTATCACTTGTGAGCACAAAGTAAACATCACAATGGCAAGATACTATTTTGGTGTACACACACAAGATCTTGTTCTAACAAGATAATAAATTGTGCATACAAGATAGCCCTTAGTTCCTGTAAAATATGGTCATTATCTTGTTCTAACTATACAATAACTTGTGCACACAAGAGGCATCATGTTTTTACAAGATAGATACTTGTTTTACAATATAACATGTAGACAAAATACTGTGTGCAAAGGACACCAATTAGTTGCAATGCCACAATAACTAGCGCCCATGGAAACAAGACACCTATCTTGTTCAAGATAACCCACATGCAGATTTATCCTGTGTGCACATCGTCAGATAATAATAATGTCTTGGACCTGAGGGGCTCCACAGCCTGACCCATCTTCCCTGATCTTCGTAATTTGAACAGACGTTGAAAATGTGAGGGATCAGACTTCCCCTCACTCTGGTTGCACGGTGAGTAACCTCCCTGCTTTAGAGCTAAATGTATCAGTTTAATGGAGACATTTACACTGGAAATAGTCATTACTTTCCTCTATTTGTGATTCTGGGTTTAAAATGTGGCTGTGCAAAAAGGGAGGCTTTCAGTGATAAAGTTGAAAGAGAAGCTAATTTCATCTCATTTAATTCTCTCACAATATCTATAAAATTGATTAAGACTCTATAAAGAGCGGGTATCCTTCCTCTTAAAATATTTAATTTCCCATTATTCTAATCAAGACTTACTCTGGCAGTAATGAGTGTCTGCCAAGCAGCAGGCTGGAGGAGCTCATCCATGAGATGAACAGATCGGGAAGCGGCAGAAAGAATCTCTCCACGTGGAATGACAACGAGAATGACTGGAGCCCAGATGTATGTTTGAAACAGAGGCTGAGCACTGATGGCTGTGAGTGACAGAGAAACCTCCAGCAAGTCCACATATAAAGGATAATGAGGGGAGGGTGCGATAGGATGTTTGTGAGAGAATGAGGGATCACCGTGTGAGACATCAGGCTACTTAAATTTAATACATCTTTCAACAAAGTTTGGAGAACATGCATTTTATAGGAGCATCTGGTGATATTAGGTTGTATTTCTTTTTAACAACTCCCAATGAAAAGACCAAACACAACCATGGAATTAATATGCAGTTTAATGTTTTGATAGTCTGAAATGGCTGAGTTCTATCTCCACAAAACAGCAGAACAAACTACAGCATTACATCTTTTTATTCCAGAGCTTTAGGTAAATAAGTTTGCCATATGTAAAATTTCTGATATTTGGTTTGTTCTCGGCAAGGTACAACTCAGATTTCCACTGATAGTATGATTGTCATTATTCCTGACTACCATCTATGCCTCGAGGGCTGTAGGAGACAACTGTCAAACATGTGCAACTCATTTAAAGTCGAGGCACAAGAGGGAATGTTTTGGTGAACCATTGTCAAACACTTGAGGGTCTCCACTTGGAATCTTGTGTGCACATATAAGATCTAGAAATCTCTAAACCATCTGTATTACTTTATGCTTCACATTTGGCATTGACACCATGGCTTTGTTTGTTGGACACCAAATTTCCGTCCTGATTGGCCATTTGCTTATTCCACATGACAGTTGATATAGTAGGTCCCCTCATACACATCTGCATATCAAAAACCTAAATAATGGTTCATGACCAAGTTCATAACAAGTGCATGACCCACAATTGTCTTCTAGAAGTAACATTTCTTTCAGCATACCTCACTCCACAGGAAAATCAGACAAGGTCATCATATAATAGGACTTTTGAAGAGGGGGGCAGACCACCAGGTCTAAGAATGACTTGATTATCTTGTGTTGTGTATGCTGTTTAACTTTGCTCACAGTAACTCACCATCACCAACCCTTTGAGGTGAAACTTTCCATGACAGTGCTCCTGCCATACTGTTTAATCCTGCTCTGTTGATTGTCACATGGGCCTGTTGCTGCGCTCGATGCAAGGCAAATGTCAGTCAAAATGTCAGACACGCTAAAACAGCGATGAGAAACTGTCAAAGCAGCTGAATGATTTATAGCTGGATCTCGGCTCTCTAATTGTGATGACAGTTCATTTTTTAAAATCTTTCATGGATGTTTAATGAGACGCATCTTTGGTGTCAAACATGCATTTTTTACTTTTGAAACCACATTTCAGCAGTCTTAAAAACATCATTCAGTCCCCCAGCAGCACTGGAGGACACATTTCTTTATGGTTCTAACACACACTGTAATTTCAATATACTTGATCCCACTTACCCACCTGTTATAGTAAGCAACACATTGGCATCAAAGAGAAAAGCTTATTATATAAAAGTGCTTCATAACTAAGTGTAGCATCAAGACAGGCCTGTGTGTGAAACCCACATATTCCTCACGGGAAAGGTTCCTTATCTGGTCCTGGGACACAGGATCATATAAACCTTTAAGATGTGTTTGTACTTTCAGGTTACACAACTGATCAAAACCTTGGGCTCTTCTCAATTGCTCAACTCGAAGAACCGAGGCAGTATTTTTAAATAACTTTCAAACTGACTCCATCACCGACCTTTTGAATAATTTGTCATGCCTCACATGGGGCACCGAAATAATTCCTATCAATTAAAATTTAACATAAGATTGATAGATGGGTTGGTGGCGTCAGCAGTCCTAGAGGTGTTGTAGAGGGAGGCAAAGCTTTCGGTTTACCAATTCATCTACATTCCAACCTTTACCAATGGTCATGAGCTCTGGGTTGTGACCAGAAGAGTTAGATCACAGAACTAAGCAGACAAAATGAGTGGCTGGGTTAAGGCTCAGAGATAGGGTCTGTAGGGACTTTGTAGGAGATTTGTTGCTCCTTCACTTTGAAAGGAGTCAGATGAGATGATTCAGCAGTTGATAAGGACACTTCCTGGATGCCTCCCTTTGGAAGTGTTCTGGGCACATACAACTGGGAGTAGCCCTCAAGAGCTAAGCTAAGAGCTTGCTGAAGGGAAAAACATATCCCACCTGGCCTGGGAACACCTCAGGAGATTTGGGCTGACTGCTGCCCTGTCAAAAGTAGGGGGAATTAGACACCTCTGTGGACCAAGGGGTTGTAAAAGTAAACCTGCTGAGAAACAGAAACCAATGAATCTTTATGCAAAGTATGAGGAGCGTTAATGGACATGCTGCCACTACTTGCAAGGCCACATCCTCTTAGAATCTCACGAACAGACAATGAGTCAGCAAAATGCACTGGAGCTCTAGGACCTACATCACCTCTCCACACCTGGTCTCACTCAAGCCAATCAGGCACTCACACACCTGATTCTGCTTTGAAATGACCCCCCTTCAACTCAAGGAATTGCCCATCAGATACTCGACCCTGGTCAGGACAAATAAAATGGATGGATGGCCAGTGATTTTGGAAACGCAGTTTTCTGTGAAGTGGAATAGAAGCAAAAGGAGGATCTTTGGTGACAATATGGAATTTCATGTCTTATTTTTATTGAAATTGCGTCAGGAAGAACTTAACAATACGGCATCTTCATTGATATCAGTTCACTCCAAAGCAGGCTGGTTGCGTGCGCACCTAGTATTGTTTGTACACAAGAAACCCATCCATTCTAACAGCCTGTAGTCTTTTCATCTAAAAGTTAATGTAGGAGGAAATAAAACAGTCATTTTGGTCTATGGTGAATATCTTGGATTGGACAAATGAAGTGCCTGACATGGATTCACAAACCTTTTTGTTTTATAGCACGGTCAAAGTCTTTCCTGATGAATCCGTGGCCTCTCCTGTAGGTAGAAAAGTCACGCTGCCAAGCCTCGCCTTCATCTTTCCATCTCAGCTGGGAGATATCCTCATTTAGCTAAATTAGCTCAAGTCAAGCTTGGCTTTAATGTGCAGACACTAATGACGCTCCAAGGTTAAAGTGAGGAGTCAAGCATTGATTTGTACTGTCTGTCTTCAAAGTCTGCATGGAGAATGAAAAAGGAGGCATCTTAACAAGGCCGCATGACGGAGTAAAAAGGCCAACAGCTGTAAAAAAAAAATCAATCCAGTGCTTTAGCCGGGATTTATTCCGAGGGAGTCCTGTTCTATTTTACGCTGCACAGTTTGGTAGGTGTGTTAATGGCATGTTAAAGTTGACATTTCACAGCTGATGATAATAAATTAAATACAAATTATCTGACAATTTAATGGCCTGTGATTAATTGCCACATGCGTGCTGCTATGACATGCAGTGTAAAATCGTTGAACCATGAGTGAGAAAGAAAGGGGGAAAACAAAGCAAGGTGATAAGTGGAGGTAAAGCGAGAGTGTGAGGGAGCGAGAGGTTCGGAGATAGACTTGGGAGCAGCATTTTCACCTGTAGCCCATCCTTAGAGTGAGCAGATATGGAGATTTGGTCCTGAGGTTGGATGTGGTGATGAAGTAGGCCTTAGATAAGGGATGTGGAGGATTATTCAATCAATCACCTGTAGCCATATCTTTACACAGCTTGTCTGAGCAGACACAGGAAGTAGTCTGGGCCTGAGGGGGATAAGAGCGAAAAAAATGAGACTGGGTCAGCCTAGTTCAGAGACGCTGCCCTGCAAGCATTGTGTAGGAGAGTTTAATAAAAGGAGACGGTGAGTGTCTGTGCATGCTAAGCAGGCGAGTCAGAAAAAAGAGCTCTTTATGAAGCTGTTGCATTAATGTAGCTTTCACAACATTATTCCAAATTTGGGTATCGAGGTTGATCTGTTTTGATGAAATTTTAATAATGCACAATACATCTATCCAGAGCCAAAAAAAAAAATAGACGAGGTAACCTAATTCATCATTCATGATTGATGACCACTAATAGCATGTTCAGAGCACATGAGGGACACACATGAATAGATGAGTGCGTAAAGCATAGCCTCTATCTTAAAGGTGCAGGACATGATGAAAAAGTCAACAAGGTCAGTTTAACATCAAAATATAAAGCTTTAAAGATTTCAGCACCGGACCATTGGTTATTGTGCTATCCCATGATTCTTAAGTTAACATCTCTGTAGCTTCACATATTTAACTTCTCAAATTTAAAATCTGTCTATGAACAAAGACACTGAACAGGTACTGTCATCAATATCTAAACCTTTTTGATTACATTTCTAATTAAACTGTTAAAATGTGACAAATTGGGTCTTTAATTAGGAGGAACAAGAAGTTCAATACAGTGAGTAAAATGCTCTGCCATCATTGAAAATAAGTCAATTCTGGCTCAAACACAAATGAATTCATTTAAAAGCTTAGCGCTGCCAGGAGAGTGTTTATTGATGGATGAATGGACAAAGTGTTGAAGTTTAAATGGTCTTGTACCTTTCATGAAGTGCTTCATAAACTGTCGATATAAAAACAGCACAGGATAATCTTTAAAGGGAGTGGGTGCCAAAGACACAGAGATGCAACTTTAAAGGCACAATCATCTTTGTGTTTTCAGTCTGACACAAGGGACAGGGAGTAGACCCTGATCAGAAGAGCTGGTTCATCATGGAGATACACTTTAGTGCTTGATCATGGTTGGCTTTACTAGGATCTTCAAATGTATTCAGAATTTGAATGGCAATCCATGTAGGGGGGATAAAACAGCAGTAATGTAGTTTTTCCTGCTGGACCTGGTAAACAGTCTCAGTCAACAGCAGCTTTTAAGCTCAATGGCAGACAGTCGAGTCAGCATTTACTGAATTACAGTAATCAAACCAGGAAGATAAACAGACATGAATCAGCATTTCTAACTCAGCATGTGCAGCAACAGACTGCAACCTCTGTTTTTTTATCAGTATTCACCCATCCAGTCCTTCATGGCACAGTAGAAGCCTTCGGTGTAAAAGAAACATACAGTCAAACATCTTCAGCATAACAGCAGTAAATTGTTTGATCACATAGGTAAATTGAGAACTATGTAAAGGAAACTTAAAGGGACCCAGGACAGATCCCTGAGGTACACTGTATCTGAAAAAGACGCTGTTTAAGACATATAAGGCTATGAAAGATAAGAGGACCGATCACAGGGGCTCCCCACACACCCTGACTTGATGTTATAAAGGGTATTACAAGGAGTTTTTCTGTAGTTGGAAATCAACTATATTCCGACAAAAAAAATATTTCAGGGTCAAACACACGTAAAATCAAGTTAGACACCCCCTCGAGAGATGAATTTTGCCGACTGCTTGCTCCTCTAGTTTTACCAACTTTAGTAACAACAGTACCATAGTGATACACAGAGGTCTGAGGAGCCATAAACAAACCTCAACCAAGATGCCACTCTATAGTCACAAACAATGCTCAGAACAGCACCTAACTTCATCAACAGTACATATAGGGTCCCAGCCATAGTACTAGCCATCAAACATTTTTTTTAACTTTGCCTAATTTCTTTAGCAAAGAGACTTAACACAACTCACCTACTCTCTTCCAGCACCTGCTTGTTTGTAGGGAGACCTCAGGCCAGTCCATTACAGACTACAGTGGGATGACACAGCTCAAGGAAGAACCTTTATGATCATTTCTTCATTTCTTCAAATGCAATCAGATTGGGACTCTACGGCAGAAGAACTATTGCGTCTGCAGTGCAAAATGATAAATATGAGCTTCGTCACCCCAAAGTAGTCTGTAATGGACTGGCCCAGGATAATGTACTCGAGGGGATGTCTAACTCTGTATGTTTGACCCTAATTAATTTTACGCCGGAATATCCCTTTAATCCAAGTTACTGAAACATTTAGGGGTATTTGTTTTAAAACACTATTTTGGCATATACTTTGGCATCACTTTGTCCACAGGGGGCGCCAAAACAGACAGAAATTAAAATTTCCTTACTGCAGCTTTTAAATCAGTCATAAGCAGTTTGGCATTGGCTTTCTCCAAAATATTAAATACCAATGATAGTTTGAAGATAAGCCTGCAGTCTTCCAGTGGATGGGTCAAGGTTAGTTTCTCAGACGATGGTGAACAGCAGCAGATTTAAAATACAATAGGATACAACCAGATAGCAGGAGGCAATTTATAATAGAGACTAGGCAGTCTACAATATCTGTTTCATCTCCTCCTTTCCTCTCCTTTTCTAACATCCCAAATAAAATCAGCTCTGACAAGGACTATTTTCATTACGTAACACAGATAACAGCTAAAATGCTGTGCCTGGTTGCAATGATGACAAACTAGAGTGTAAGATTATAAAACGGTTTTGGTTTTGATGTGTGAAGGTTGAATCACAACAGGCAGATAATGTGTTTTTAAAAACTTTTCTGTCATATATTGGTGAACCAAACAAAAGGGGGCTCTTGATAAGCTTGACAGCCATGAGATGATTCTCCTCAGACTCATCATGCATACTCTACAGATGGATCTTATGTGTTTCCGCTGAGCTTGGAGACATCTAGGCAGGATGTCAGGGGACTCAGGCGACTCCTCAAATGGATTAAAAAGTTCATAAATCTATGATGCCGTCTTATATTATGGCATCAGGCAGAGAGCCCTCTAAACAAGCAGCGGGTATTAGATTTAACCTTTGTTTTGTCAATAGAGGTTTGCTAATAAATCACAACCACTGGTGGGAAGAATAATTGTCAGACTGCAGCCATTTTCACAGCTGAACTTTACATCATCTTTTAAAAAAGGAGCAGATGGGCTTGGCAATGGAGGAGTCCTATTGATCCTTGGTTTCATTGATTTCCTCTCTTTTTTTTTTTTTTGTCCGTGGCAAAGCAAAGGGATGGGAGGCGCCGTAGCTGCGAGAAGGTCTCTCTCTGAATAAGAATTGTGAAGCGCTGGGCACCAAGGTGAGGTGCTGCATGAACAATAACCGCCGCCGCTGCTGCAGATCGTGCTGCACTCCAGACTTTGTGTGCTCGGAGGCTCTCACTGCAGATGCGCTCCTGACACCTTACAGCAGGTAAATTGCAGACACTTAATGAGACTCTGAAATTATCGGATTCCTGTCGACTTGATGTGGGAGACTCTAATAGAGATGCTGGCTCTGTCTCAAAGCTCACCACTAGCACCCAGAGTAATCCCTGTCCTTACCGTGTGCAGGTGAGCATGAATGGGTCACCTCATTAGAAGATGATATTAGCGGTGGAAAACTTACAATTTACTGCTGCAAAAGATTTTTTATTTTAAGTTTAAAAAAGGGTAAAATTATGCCGAAGCCCTTTCTTACATTAAGGATGACATGGACATATTTGCCAAACAGTAAGATATTACACAGCAGTAAGGTCAAAAAGTAGAGGAGATTCAGTCATGATCGGAATCCAAGTGAGTTTGAAGGAACTGATTTGGGATTTATTCATGTTTGTTACTGTTATTAGCGCCTGTAGTCATTAGTGATCACGTGTTAAAAACTCATCTTTGCAGCTCTTTTAAAGCGAACGTTTCAAAGCGTGCAAAGTGCAAGAGTAGTTAAGTAAACCAGGCAGGCAGGGGTGGACTGGGACAATGACTCAGGCCAGGAGTTTGACTCCATCCTGGCCAGGCCAACACACATCCAGCCAGAGTGAATATAATGCTAATGTGAAGAATTTAACATTGGCTACATAACTGCAAATTGGTTTTAAAAACTCCATATTAGTCATGACTTTAACTATTTAAACTAAGAATGTAGCCTACCACATTGCTGTTGTATTATGATAAAATGTTGAAAGCCTGTCAGAAAAAATTCAAAGTTCTCGAGAGGCATAAAACTTGGATTAGCACGAACCACTAGCATCGTATCTGTCTCGGTGTCGGTCAGTGACCTTATTAAACTCAGCTTCATTGCAGCTTCATTACGGTGTGCTAAAAGAGTATAAAAGTGGTATATTTTCAGACAAGAAGGAACCAGGAACTCTTAAAAATGTAAATTACTTCAAAAGTGAGAAATGAAAGAAAGTAATTGGTTTATCAATTGAACTGAAATGAAGCAAAAATGAAGGGAAAAAACTCAAATTTCAGTGTTTGTATTTTGATTGAATTTAATTTTGATCTTTAATTTGTTGTTAAGTTTGAAATTTGTGTTTGACACTCCTAAAATCAGATTAGTTTTATTTTTTTTGTAAGATTCAAGAACTTCATTTTTTATATTGGATGAAGCTATTTAAAGTTCCCATTCGGAACTTTTAATGGAAAATGAAACGGACTGAAATGAGCAGAGATCATTAATGCTCCTCAGGCTCTTTATGACCTGCAAAAGCAAATAAGACCATCTAGGACAACAGAAGTTATTCATAAAAACAGGTAGAGACTTCCTTTACTCATAACTTAAAGTCCAAAAACATAAATATCCAAACATCTTTACCCACGCATAGACTCCAAAGCTACTCTGCTCGTGGCATTGGCTTTAAACTCGGTTGCCAGGAGAAAATGATTTCCCTTTTTGGTTGAATTGGCATTTGAGAAGATGCCAAGTATCCTCTAATTACTTTTTCTCGACTCTTTCTTCAGTCGATGGTTTTCTGCTTCTACTGATGTCAACATTTCTTTAATTTTAAAGAAGCCAAAATCTGGTATTGATTTGTTTACTGTAGAAGATGTGAAAAAAAGCAAAGTTAAATGAAGAATGGAGGTGATGCTGGGATATAAAAACAGACTCTGATCTGAAATGAAGAGGAGGAAAATAAAGTTTAAGGCTTTGACTTGTTAGAAGTATCACTTTCTAAGAGAATGACTCAAACCCTCACATGAAAAGCATGACTCAAACGAGATGACACAGAGTTTTTCCGATATGAGTTACCTCCTCCCCGTGGCTGATCTTCAGAGGTGGCTGTCTGAGGTCAGAGTGATGTCTAAGCGAAGGTGCTGAGGGAAGAGTCCAGGTGAAAGGCCGAGCTGACATTCACAACCACACACCGTTTCCTCCTGTCAGACTGGGCTCTCCTGGGACCTTCTCCCCAGCATCATAAGTGAATAATCAAACCCAGAGTGAGTCAGTGTATTGATATGTTTCTTGTTTGTTGTTGCTGAAGTTTAAAATAACCCTGGACCGATGCAGCAGTCAGCTGTTTCCTCTGTCTGCTCCTTTTCTTCCATACACAGGTTTCCACAACACCTTATAGCTCTGCCTCACACAAAAATCTTAAAATAAAGCACATGTATACACACTCACTGGCTACTTGAGGAGGTACATCTTGCTAGGCAAGGTTAGGCCCTCAATTGCCTTCAGAACTGCCTTAGATATTTTTGTCCATATTGACATGATAGCATCACGCATTCATGATGCGAATCTCCAGCTCCACCGCATCCCAAAGGTTCTCTACAGGACTGAGATCAAGTGACTCTAGAGACCAAATGGAGTACAGTAATGCAAATTGCAGCCTTGGTTTCCTGTTCTTAGCTGACCGAAGTAGCACCCGGTGTGGCCTTCTGCTGTTATAGCCCATCTGCTTCAAGATTCAACGTGCTGTGCCGCTCTTTCCTACATTTACAGTTAAATCTTTAAAGCAAGTCACAGTTTGTATTGTCTTCTCATTCTGGCTGAAACTGCCGCTGAACAGGACAACAACATGGACAAACATGGAAGCCCTCTCTCTAAACTGAATGAATTATGAGAGCCTTCAGCTGAGAGCATACAGGATCCGTATTGAGTATGTTCCATGTCTGCTCTATAGAGCAGCATTGGGTATCACATACTGGATGCTTATTTGGAGCGTGGCAGCAGCGTAGTGCAGCCCCGGTCAGCTGGGCTCAGTATAAAGGAAACAAGATGCTCACAACAGGTTGTTTTACCTTTCTGTGGTTGATTTCCTGTTAATTTGGATATAATTCACAGACTGTTGAGCCTTTACTATATTTGATGAAGCAACGTGATTTTACAGTTTGGGCTTTTGCAGGTTTACCTGTGTTTAATTAAGTAAACTATGTTCCTTTACACTGTGCTGTTACCTTCAGACAGAGTTAACAGTTAAAAATCCTGTTGGGGTCCAAATGGATCAGGGATTGACCACAGTCGGGAGTTTGCATATGGAGTTTTATTTTAAAATACTGGATGACATGTGCGTTTTTTTGCTTGATTCCCTGTCTGGAACAATCGTCTCTGAGTGGATTGACATGCATTGGAATCACAGAGCAGCAAAAATAGGCTTTAGCCGTGCTGCTCTCGATATGATGCTGCGATGGAGCTAATACTCATCCTGTATGCTTTGCTGCATCGGTTAGAATGGCAACCTATTCACTGCGTGATCCGCAATGCTGCTGCAATGCTCAAAATACGCATCCTGTATGTTTTATCCTTTACATGTACAAATAACATCACATCATGATGCACTCAAGGCAAGGTCAGTGAGTTGACTTTTGGGGTAAAGGTGAATAAGATTTAATCAATACAAGAGCAGTTTTGTTGACCCAGGTCATTTGGAGGCTTCATAGTAAAGATATACTAAAAAGAAAAACTTAATTTTCATCTGTAGCCATAGCAACCATTGTTCAAAGATAATCTCACGAGGTACATGAGTGTAAAGATCATACAGTATTCGTTATGACTCCACTGAACGCCTTTTTGTAAATATGCAGTTTTTCTGCTCGAGCTCCACTGAATGACCACGAAGGTATTAAAAAAAACAAAGAGTCTTCAAAACATGTTTTTATTAATCTCCTTCAGAAATAAAGAAAAACAGATCAAATGTTTTCTCTTTTTTCATCGCCTCAGTGTCGGAGCGGCCAACTGAGCGTAACTCGCAGTGTTTCCACAGAATTAATCACATCAGGAGGTTTCCTCAGTGGTTAGCTTCACAGCAGGAAGGCTCTGGGTTTGAACACAGCAACCACCGACTGGGAAAATTTCTGCATAGATTTTGCATGTTCAGTGCGTTCATGAGGGTCTCCTCTGGGCTCTTCTGTAACATCCCTGCAGTTCAGTCATCCAGGCCAGGTGTATTGGATACTCTAAACTGCCCATGGGACTGTGTTTATTTATGCTTGGCTCTGCAGGATGTTCAAGACCCCCCATGATCCTTCAAAGGGGGAAGGGTATGGAAGATGGATGTTGCTCTGGGTTTCATTTTTAATGGGAAACAGGAACAAACATGAGTGTTCCTACTTGCGGACATAATGGCCGCTGTCGGTAAAACCACCTGAAACGAGTGGCCAGTAGGTTTTTTTTTTAAGTGCTTTAAAGACTCAGCTTTGAAAGATGCTGACTTCCTATTGAGCGGTATCAAAAAGGAAAGGCTTTTGCTCTTCATGTCTGTTTGTATATAAGACCCTTTAAAGCAAATACATCCTGATATCTGTGCTGGAATCTTGAATTTGCAGCTCATTTCCATATCACTTCACAGTATGCTGCAACACAGTGGAATCAGAATACCATAAAAAAGTTGTATTCTTTAACTATCTAATACAAAAAGTTAGATTTAAAGGTATTTTTGCTTTTTGCTTAAAAATCTGACATGATTAGAAAACATCCTTAAATCAACCATAAAAAGGATTTTAAACATAGAAAAGTTCAACTTCTGAAAAGTCAGTTCATTTATACACTCAGTTCTTGGTTTAGGCCCCTTTACAGCGATTTCCGGCAACAATATGGTGATCACCTTATAGCATTGGTGTTACTGAGGCCCATTTTGCAATAAATGTGGTCTTTACCTGGTTTGTATTTTTAGTTTCTCACCTTCCTCTTGACAAATAACCTGTTTCCCTTTCAAAAAGTATTTTCCTCATGCATAGGGTGACCATACGTCCTCTTTTACCCAAACATGTCCTTCTTTTGGGGGCTGTCCAGCCTTGTCGGGGGAAGTTTATGAAATCCTTCAAATGTCCAGGGTTTTGTCTTCAAGTTTTGAGTTTGTGTTGCTTGGACTTACTGAGTTAGAAGCGCATAAAAAACACTCAACCTGACCCAAAAAACTCTCAAAATTTACCGCACACGACTCTGTGACTCCGCCCCCGCATAGTCGTGTCCTCTTTTCAAATCCCCCTGAAATATACTCACGTGTCTTTCAAGCAATTAACAGTCAAGTTTTGTTAAGGAATCACTCTAAAATAGTTATTCTGTGAACCTCTAAGCAACATAACCTCACAATAATGCCCAAACTTACTGCCTGTTTTGCAACAACACAACACTTTCCAGAAATGTTCAATTGTTCAATAACAAAAGCTTTTTTTTTTCTCACAGGAAATTATGAATCATTTCTACCAGGAAAAGCACAAGTGTTTCTTCAAACATTACTCACTTCCATTCAAGCATCCTTGAAACCGTGAAAGTGTGACAGTGAAGCAGCAAACACCGAACCAGAACCCTAAAAAAGCAGCTAGATGGAATTAATCTTTGTTAATTTGCGCTTTTCGACTGATCAAATATAAAACACCTGTTAATATCATTCAGAGTGTTTATTTCACATCATCTTGGTGTCAGGTCCACCCCAAATTACCTTTTAACTTTAACCAATTCCTCTGCTCAGCACTTCTCTTTACTTCTGCGCCCGCACTCCCACGCACCTGCCCCTCATTACCCTAATTAGACGCTCAGTATATATACCTTCCCTTAATCACTAGCCTTAATTATTTGCTAAATTGTCTACCCTGCTATTCAGCCAATGTGTTCTAGCCTAAGCAGACCTCTGCTTAACCTTAAATGCTTTTCATCTGCATCTGAGTCATCATGAAAATTGTCACAGATACGCCGCGATTCAGGCGAACACAGCAATAACCGCCGTCTGAACCTTTCCTTTCAGATCTCTCTTTTAACCATGGAGTACATCTAAATGTAATGAGAGAATAAGACCCTCAAGGTTGTAGAGAGGGTTACACTAACAGTTTTCTCTATTTACACATTTGAAGACGTGAAAAATCCGGGGGATCTGCATCTTAAGTAAAGGAGCTGTTCTGGTTTTCATTTGTGGGAATCGCAGTTGAAGACGTATTGGCCAATCCCCCAACCCTCTTTGGAGTACATGAAAGATGATGTGACCTTCATTAGGGTGACCCTACATCCTCTTTTACCCAGACATGTCCTCTTTTGGGGGGCTGTCCAACCTTGTCCGAGAGAGATTATGAAATCCTTCACATGTCCAGGGTTTTGTCTACAAGTTTTGAGTTTGTGTCACATGGACTTAATGAGTTAGAAGCACGTGAAAAACACCTTGTGACTCCGCCCCGCATAGTAGTGTCCTCTTTTTGGGGTTTCAGAATATGGTCACCCTACCTTCATTCAACTAAAACAGGGTACTCGTGTCACTTTCGAGCCCGATTTCAGTCTTCCCACAAAAGTCAGCGAAGGATGGTTGAAAAGATCATCTTTCCAAATGATCTCGTCTACATGGCTTATTAAAGTTTTTGTTTCTTCACTCAGATCTCAGCCGCCCCAGCTTGAAATCATGTTCAATAGTTGCTGCAGCTGTGAGCAAGTTCAAACTTAGCCTTGTTTGAGTGTAAACTCTAGTTTATGAATGTTTGAGGTGATTAACCAGATGAGATAGATCACTCCGATCTATTCCTGCTTGTTTCCACGAGCAAAGATCTGAAAAGAATATTGCCAATTTCTAAAAATATATGATAGTTTAGGGTGACCATAAGTCCTCTTTTACCTGGGTATGTCCTGTTTTGGGGGCCTGTTCGGCCTTGTTCAGGGAAGTTTATAAAATCCTTCAAATGTCCGGGATTGGTATGGAAGTTTCGAGTTTGTGTCACATGGACTTATTGAGTTAGAAGTGCATAAAAGACACTTGATCTGACCCGAAAAACTCTCAAAATTTACTTTGTGCCTCCGTCCCTGTGTAGTCGTGTCCTCTTTTTGGGGATTGAGAATATGGTCACCCTATTATAGTTACAGTAAATCACCCAGATAAATGTTTAATAATGGCCAAACTTTCCACGATGAAGACATGCTAAATAAATCACAGATGTTCAAAATTCTGATGAATATAGGTTTCGTTTTTGTTGACAAGAATATGACGAGAAAGAGTTGTTTTAGGTGGACTGTCTAACTTTAAAAAATTCAAGATATTGTCTCCACTGTGCAGCTGATTCATCACATATAATACAAGCTGTGATTCCTGAAACAGGCTGAGATAGCTGAGGGGAGCAGTGTTTGCTGCTGCAGGATTAAAAAAAAGCTGCATTTAAAGTGCACAGCAGATAAATATATGATGCAAATCCAGAAAGACACAAACACATCAAAAACAGCAGAAAAAAAATAGGTGCTGAAAACAAAACAACCAAATCATTCACAAAACAAAGTCGGAGAAAGCAGAGAGCAGCTGTGAAGGTCACATGACTCAGCATCTAAAAGTCTGCGGTTACTTTTACTCGTTTGTGT